CCTCAACCAAGATCCATCAACATCCACTAGTCCACAGTTCAAATATTTCCAAATTTGCTTACTGCAAGTTTGGACCAGATTTGCCATTTTTGGTGAAATTCATTCCTTTTCTTTTCCTAAAAATCTGAGATAAATCAGGCAGCCTCTAGATGCATCAAGAGACCACCTCACCAAGTCCCAGCTCCATGAAAAAATTCCACGTGCCTAAATCATTTCGTCGAACAGTTGGCGTGCACTGTTCCTGTCAAATTCAGAGTTTCAGTGTTTTGGTTCAGTCGTCAGTGTCGTTTTCTTCAGAACTTGGCGTCGATCTCGCTAGTGCGCGCGTTGGCGCCTTGCTCACTGCTCCCCCTTCTTATCCATCGCGCCGCACGGTTGCCTGGATGGTTGCGAGCATCGGCGGTGAGCTGGCAGGGGTACATCGCCCCTGTGAGCGGCGACATCAACACTCGTTGTGGCCGCCAGAGAGGCTCAGCGTGGAACGGCGCCGTCCAGCGCCGTCCAGCACCGCCCAATCCTCCAAGAGCCTCCGTGTGGCTGTCCCCTTCCCTGTACGTGCTACAGAGCCGTCGTCGTGGCCTGGAAAGCATAGAGCGCGCTCCCTACCACCGACGTGCCCGTGAGGCCGTTCCGTCGAGATCTTGGAGTATCACCCAAGTCATACCAAGTTTAGCCCTTGAACGGAACCAGTGGACCAACACGATGATGCCCAATCACCTAAACCTCTAGCCCGACCACTGCCTCGCCGTAATCGCTCGGCGGAGTTATCCTGTTCTCGGCAACCGCCTCGGGCCGGCTATAAATAGCGACCCCGAGCTCGTGCTCAACCCAGCACGTCCCCTCCTCTCCTCAGAACCTCGCCACGCTCATCGGAGGGCCTCGGGAAAGTCTTCTTCCCCAACTCCGGCCGCCCCGATCCGCTTCGGGCTCCGACACGATTCTCTCCGGTGAGGGCACCCCCGCCTCCCAAACCTTGCCAGTAGCCTCCTAGTGCTCCCACTCTTCTGACCCTAGCCTCAATTTGGCGTCTGCAGCCCTCCTCGGCGAGATCCACTACCGCTCGAACCACCGTCGGTCGGAGTGGAGGCCGCCGTCAACGTGGTGCTCGCCGACGACCAACTCCACCACCCACAGATGCGGAAGAGCTTCGTGAACCCGTAGGTACTCTTCGTTTCCCCTACCTCGTCATGGATCGACGCCGGCGACCACCGCGATCCTCGGGCGCCGGTGTGCTTTGTTTTCTTTTTCAATTTTTTAAACCTGACGGGTGGGACCCCCTCGTCAGCCCCTCCTCTGCTATTTGAAACGTTTTCTGAAAGCGCCTTCAGGCAAAGTATGTTTTTCCTTTGGGCTAGCGTATTTTTAACCGAAGCGTTTTCTGTTTTTCTAAACTAGCCCCTGAAAAGTTTCCGTTTCATCACAGATTAGTCCCTGGACTAAAACCTTTATAACTTTTAAACAAAAGATGATTTTGAGTTGATTCTTTTCTGTCATCTTTATTTTTCTGTCTAGTTTTTTATCATATTTATTTGAAAAATATTTGGAGCAATTTTTATGCACGCACGGTATTCACGGTAGTATCCATTTTTTTATACCATAGATACCGAAGGAGGTGACGGAACCGCAAACTTCGCCGAGCTAGACTCTGACTACTCCGAACCAGGCAAGCATGTTTGAACCTTTGATATGATGAGTGTTTTGCATGTTTGCTTGAGTAGTTTTCTCATGGCATGTTTATATAAGCAATTGTGAATGTTATATTGCATGCAAGGCAAGCTACAAGTGGACTCCGAAATATGATGTGTTCATATGATGGTGATATAACCTGATCATGTGGTGGCATGATAGGTGGTAAGATGGTATTGTTGAAGCATGCCAGTCTTATGGCAACCGTTTAACTCCGGTATTATCGTGGATCAAGTCATGTCCCGTTCATCTTTTTTTTTGTGCCGCCACATGTCTTTTGCAAAGAATGCGGTCTAGTCAGTTGCTAACCTATTTCCTCGTACACGCCATATAGAGGGGCCGTGATGAGGGTTCCATGGCCCTGGATTAAAGCTTGTCATCCGGTCAGGGGGCATGGGTGTTTCCGGTTGGGACCGAGGGGGGGGCAGCCCTTAGAGCGCGCGAATATAAATTTGATCCCATGTTACTCGAGGTTGTAGCCTCCCCGTCTCAGAGTTTTTCTTGAACATTGCCTAGGGCGATCCCTGGCAACAGAATGTGGAATGGGTGTGTACTGGTTAGATGTGTTTCTTCTAATACACCGTAAATGGAACTAGTCCTTTGTGACTACTGTAATCTGTTGGATGTGGGTAAAGAGTACAAACTCTGTAGAGTCAAAACCATCCGAGTAACCATGTCCATGATCAAGGACTTTGATCAACATATCAGTGTCAGTCTCAGTGTCAGTCTCAGTGACAGTCTCCGAAGGATAAACATGAAACTGAGAGTGGTAATCCCGGCTGAAAGTTAATCCCGTGGACGGACTAACCAGTTTATTATTATGTACTGAGTATTTCTCTAGGATGATTTAAATTCATGAGCTACTTGAATTCGAATGACGAAATATAAGCCCTTTATGTGATGTCACCCAGACGTCCGACTATGGCATTCTTGTTATTTACTTTTGATATAAGCCCTTTATGTGATGTCGCTCAGACGTCCGACTGTGGCATTCCTGTTATTATTATTTTTTTGATATAAGCCCTTTATGTGATGTCGCTTAGACGTCCGACTGTGGCATTCTTATTATTTACTTTTGATATAAGCCCTTTATGTGATGTCGCTTAGACGTTCGATTGTGGTAACCTTGTTATTTACTTTCATTATAAGCTCTTTTCAAGATGTCACCTAGACGTCCGACTGTGGCATGTACTGTCATTTACATTTCAATATAAGCCCTTTATGTGGTGTCGCCTTGACGCCCGGCTGTGGCATGTTAATTTATTTTTCCTTTCGAGGCGTCGCTTCAGACACCCGATCGGCCTTCAGTTATTTTATTAGGATTTCGGGAGGACTACCGCCTGACTTCCTTTCATTTATCATGCAGTGCAAATTTATTACCTGAGTGTACATTACTAATCTGCTCATGTGCATCATGTTTGCATTTATTATATCTTATGTCCAAACTGTCTTGCGAGTACATTCAAAGTACTCGCCTGGCTTGTTGATTTGGCCAGATGTTGACGAAGGCGATCTTATGGATGAAAAGTTCGATAGCGAGTCCAACGCCTAGAGGAGTCCCAGTCAGTCCCGTGCGATCCTGGAGTTGGTCACTTGTATTATATACGCTTCCGCTACCCTAATAAAATCATCGAGTCTCACTCCGACACTTGATGAGCTGTAAGATTTGAAGTCATGTCAAAAGCGAAAAACGCGTGCGAAAAAAAAAATTCAGAGGGAGCGCCCAGAGTGCGACACGTGGCGAATGACTGAGAGCACGCCAAGTGGCATTGATCGTTGCGAGGCTCCTGAAGGAGCGCTCGTTAATTAGTTGCTCTCCAGTTTGTTAGCTTTGTGGCGTCATACATTGGGCCTTGTAACGTCAAGTATTCGGCCGTGCAGCATGTAGCGCCACGTGGCCCGCTCTGCAACATGGCAGTCCAAATTTTGCAAAAAAAAAGGAAAAAAATGGTGGATGGTTTTGTGGGGGAAACGGCGTGTGACCTTGCAACAACGTTCGCTCGGTTTGCAGCAACTTTGATCTGTCTTGCAGCGTCAAGCGTCCGACTTGCAACATTCATTGTATCACATATTTGCGCTTTTGTCTTGTAACAAAGGCCACCAGGCCTTTCAGTGGCACACGTCCAGCTTGCAAAACACACAATTTTTTCTTTAAAGGCGACTAATACTCCTTTTTATTTATTTTTGAACTAGGCAAATAATAGTTTTGCTTATTCTTTTACGTTCCCCTCTTGAGTTAATAACAACAATCGCAGTGTCATTTTTTAATAAAAACCTTGTCGTGTCTTATAGCTAGTGCATGGCAGCAAATACACTGGGATCTACAACGATGAAGGTTAAAACATTGAAGATGAATGGAATGAAAGTTTTTCTCGCAAAAAAAAAACACGCACGCAAATTAATCAAGCTCCAGGCTGAGCCATACACGCGCAGAAAGTCAAGACAATCCGTAAAAAAAATAAGAGGGTCTGATTTGGGGATCAGATGCGTCGGGACAAATCAGCTGCCTGATGTGAACGATTTTTCTTCAAATATTCTATCCTCGAAGAAATCACGTGTGCGTACACCAAAGTGCTCCCTCTGTAAAGTAATATGTGACCTTCTAGATCGGATATTCAAAGTTCTTATATTACTTTGCAGAGGGAGTACTACACAAACTATGCAAAATAGCAAATAATAGTACATCGTGTGTGGGTGCAGGGCCACAAACGAGAACTGTTTCATAGATTTAGAGTTTTTACACGTGTACACGTTTTATTTATTGAAATTCGAAGGGCACTTTCAAAAACTCGAGTTTTGTGGAAACAAATGTGGCCACAAATATTTTTTGCAAAATTGATACTATCACCCGATTTCACTCATTTGCAACTTTCATGTAATGATCAGGGCACTTGAAGAACATACTGGACCCACAACAGCAATGTAACAAATTTGTCATGCATACAACCGGTGCCTTCAGTAATAGCTTTCAGATCGTCGGAAATAAACAGACATAACAAAAATCTGATTCTGCAAACAATTCTGGAACACAAATACAACTCCCTCTCTTCATAAGATTATTGTTTTCTCAAATGTTACAGAACTAATGGACAATTATCATCTTTCTTCACAACTTCTTTTGCCACCACATTTTTACCTCAACTTTACAAAGAATGCCAAATAAATCAATCATCAGGAGCAAAACTGATGGCCCAGAGATACCAACAAAGTTGAGAAGTTACGTGTATGTGTGTGTGTGGCTAGACGAGCCTTCTTCAATGTTTGACTATGTAGGTTAACAATTTCGCTGTGCTTACTCAGCTGGCGTTATGCCGCTATTTACCAGCTGATAGCATCTTCTGAAGCTGTATCACCTGCTGCTGCTGCTCCACTGGCAATGAACTCAGCTGCTCAGGTGTCAGTTGTAAGACTTGCTGCAGAAGGGCTGACTCGTCGTCCTGTGTGAGCTGCACCATTACAAGAAGAATTGGAATTGTGAACACATGAAAATTTCAAGTCTAGAAACCTTGTGTCTCGGTACAATTCAATTCCAGAGACATGATGCAAAATGTTTAGAACTTTAGTCAGGTCAGATTCTGTAGAATTTAAGCATCCAAGAACGGAAGGTATAATAAAATAACAGGAAAGCTGGAAACTAAAATTAAAATCTAGAGGGGATTACCTGAGGCGCTTCATTCTCTGGTTGCTGAAAGTTAACAGCACCAGAACTATAGCTCCCTGATGGTCCAGTAGGGATGACCTGCGATGGAGCAGTATAAACAGCAGGACTATTGTTTACAATTCCTGGCGTCAATGTTCCGTCCTCCAATTTTCTCAGTTTCGATGGATGGTCTAACTCTGCCTGATGACTAGCTCGATCAGGCAATCTTATTTCCTTCGGAAATATCTCAGGTTCAGCAGCAACCTGCAATGTGACACGAGTTTTGTGGACGGTAAAATTAGTGAATCATATCCAACTTGACTAGAAAAAATCACTTAATTTAAGGGCCTAAGCAAAGATACAAGAATAGTTGATGTACTGTACAGTTTGGTTTCTAGTACATAGTTTACAGGCGTTCTGTAAATTAGAAGACCCAATCAAGATGATTAATAATTCATCACAAACTTTGGCTTGCTACCTATCACATCATTTGTGAAGAAACATATAAGCTCCTTATATGTGAAAAAAAATACCTGGGGGAGATGAGGATTGGTCAAGGGTAGTTGCTGTACATTAGTTGGCATAACTGGTGGTCTAGGGTGCTGTGTCAAAAATGAAGGCTGAACTTGTGATATCAAGCCTCCTGAGGTTACAAGGGGTTGAGTAGGAACACTGGAAGAGGTGCCGAAGGGCTGAGGTAGCATTGGAGGGTGTGCCAGCACCCCAGACTGATGTCCATGCGGAAACATTTTGACTGGGGGCTGAGATGAATGCTGATACTGAGGAAAGTTATGCAGCAGTGCAGTTTGTTCCTGCATGACATTAGGGTTTGGTGGAGGTTTATGAACAATTGGTAACACATCATCTGGCTGCGGAAATGATTCATTGAGGTGAGAAGATTGTGCCAACGAACTAGAGGGTTGTTGGCTCTTAGCCATCTGCATCTGTGATTTCGACAGACCTGGGTTAGTATATTAGAGAATCAGGAAAACATAAGGTACATCAAACTCAGAACAAAGCAGGAATATACCATCTGAGGTGTCACCAGCCCGAGCATTATCTGTGCCTGCATTACAACAAGAAAATGGTTATGATGTTCGAATATTCCATTCTTACCCTAGAGTGAATTAAACAATGAACAAAAGTATTTCAAAGAAGTTCTTCCATGGAATCACAAGGCTCAACATATAAAGTTGGCTGGCCTTCCTGTCTTTCAACAATGGCCTCCACATGAACGCAACAAATATTTGATCTGTACACAACTACTCCCTCCGTTCCTAAATATAATAATCTTTCTAGAGATTTCATTACGGACTACATACAGATGTATATAGACATACTTTAGAGTGTAGATTCACTCATTTTGCTCCGAATGTAGTCCGCATTGGATTCTCTAAAAAGACTTGTATATTTAGGAACGGAGGGAGTATTCAATAAATTAAGGGAACATACTTTTTATTTTTATTTTTTTGCCTTCTGGGAGAACAAGACAACCATGAATCACATCAAAGTTCTAACAAGCATAACCAGAACACTTCGAGTTGGTTAAATTTATATTAAGAAGGGTGTATGAAATTTGTGAAGATGAATGAAGCAAAAATAGGCACAGATTTTGGGTGGAGAACCCATACAGATTCCATCATGTTATATTTTGGACAAGTACACAAAAACAGGGACAGAAAGTACTACTCCCTGTCAAAAAACGTCTTATATTTTGATACGGAGGTAGTAATTGACTAATTGAGCAATCAGTAGCGAAGGTCACCTGAAATAGGGCCTTTGGAAGCTGTGGAATTCCTTGCAGCAGTTTTTTGGCAAGGTCGTTATTTTGAGTAGTTAGGGTCTGCCATAAAAAAAACATTAACAAGCTAAAACTAGCAGTGAGCAATTTTTAATCTTCATAATTGACATTGATATTTCAATATAACCTTCAACTCAGACATGATTTCATACAACTGATGCCTTGACATCCTGGCCAAGTAATGGGTAAGAGGGTCATTTCCAAGCCCAAATTGGACAGGTAAACCATTTTGTACATTTGCAGTTTGAGCTCCCCCAAGAACGCCAGCCATCACAGATGCAGCATGTATTGCCGGTGGAAGACCAATAAGCTGATGAAGGCTGGTGTCCCCTACAGCGGGAGTTGTGGTTAATTGTTTCTGAGCATCTGCAGGATTCCATCAAGAACCCAATGTCAGCACGCACGGACATAAAACTGGCAAGTTTGAAATCTTAAACATACAGATAAACAAAATGATGATCAAGAAATTGAAACCAACCAACAGTAGATGACATTCCTGGTCCTCCACGACCCTGCAATGCATAAACATATAAAAAATAAGTCAAGATCTGCTTCTTTATTGACAACTTCAATTGGTTAAGATTTCCTACTGCCCATGCATGAAATTAATTTTGATTGCACTAACTCCATTTCTGTAATGAAGCTACTTAGTTCCAAATATGCAAAGTTACAACATGGCAGTGAAAACTAGTGACCTTATCATGCAATAGTATTTCACTATGATCTCCAGAAAATTTAGCATAAAAATAGTGTCCCTATGTAAACCACTATCAACCAATCAACTGCGTCCAGTTGTGAAACTTAGATACACAGTATTTTCTTGTGGATGCATTCTGACAACTTGGCAACAAAAATCAGCACATACAGATCAGCATTAGTCACTGGTGTGGGGATAGATACAAAGGCTGCTGATAGCAGCTAAGGACATCACACTTATTTTGAGAGAGAAAGGTAGTAATAATGTAACGGTAAGCCAAAAGAGAAAGTCAACTGTATATATCATTTCAGAGATAAATTCACTAGTAATTGCAACACCATTGCTTGACCATATCACAAAGGATGCAACTAAAGATGCATTGACCACATATACATCCTCTACAAGATAATTCTTCTTTTGCTATTTGCAGAGAACGTCACGTGTTCAGTACAATTCTGGAGATCTTTGAAAGCATGACATTGCTTTTGTTACCCCAGTAACTTTGGCACGTTACTTTTGTAAAAGAAGGCAGAATCGAGACATTAGAGATGATTTTGGAACCGCGATACCAAAGAAGATCCGCAATACCAGAAAGATAATTCCACAAGTTATTTAGGCAGAATAGCAGGTGTGCATATGTACAGACAGGAATCTGTACATACATACACATGCTGTGCAAGAAAGCAAAACAGGAGACACATGGTAGTTGGAGAAAAGTGAGTATTATAATTCATGGGAACCAAAACCATACAAGCTTTCATCTTAACATAGGACTTGCTGGGTGAGAAATAAGGTTCTTCTACAGTAATAAACTGAGGATCTTCCACCTTTTCTCTATTTCTGTCAGTGTTCCTCCCATTTTCAGCAAAATCAACACGTAACTGACGACCATTAACATCATGACCCTGAAGGTTCCGGCGTGCACTTAGAGCTGTCTCTTCATCCTTGTATTCACAAAATCCATAACCTTTCGGCTTTCCGGTTTCCTTATCAACAACCAGTCTGCAAGCAATTTTGAGCAGTCAGTATCTAGCAGTCACAGCTCAACACTGTCATCAGCTTCGTCGAACGCTAAAAAGGTTATCAGGGATAGAAATAACTCATAACCAGTTTCAGTATAATGTCACTTGTTGAGAAACAGTGATCAAGAAGCAGCACACACGTGTATCTTCGGGTTTCTTGTTATTTTTGTTAAGGTTAATTTCCATTTGCATGTGTAGTCCAGAAAGTGATCCCATAACACTAGCTATATAAGATATTCAGGATATCATTTCAGCATTCAACACTCTTATCTTTCGAAAGGCCCGAGGCAGCATCCATAAGCAGGGCAACCCCTACGACAACCTATTGAGTTCTGAGATCATGCTTAGCAGCAGTGTGCAATAAGGCCATCATACTTAAACAAAATCAATATTCCAGATGTTACGCGCTGGATTTAAAAGCATCATGTCCATATAGCTGGCTAACAATTTCCTCATTTTGAAAGAGAATGAAAGAGGGCACATGGGTATTTTAACAGATACTGAATAATCCGATAATAATCTAACAAACATGTGTATCTGCACAACATGGTCAAATTAGAAAACTACATGGTGGCACAAAGACACACAACTGATAGGGTTTGCACAACTAAACCTGAAGGAGACCACGGGCCCGACTTCCTCGCATATCTGCACGAGCAGCTCCTCCGTCGCATCGTATGGAATGTTCCCAACTGCAACCAAATTCAACAGCCAAAACCGGCGTCAATCGAACTCAAGAACCTACTCATACCGCATCAACTGAGCCAACACAAAATGTGCGGTAAATATCAGTGTCACACACGTTGAATACAGCACAAGCCAACTAACGGGCACCTTTGTTTGGGGGAAAACAACCCCAAAGGCGTGACGAATATGAATGATAAAAAAAAAAAGAGGCAAACCCTAGACAGTACGAAAACTCGAATGAAATGAAATTAGACTCCAAATCTAGCGGCGGGAGCAGCTAAACGCGCTCCGCGCCACCCAAAACCGCACCGGCCATCCACACACGAAGGGAAAACCACGGGGAATCGACGGAGGATGCAGCAGCGATTGGGGGCCCAAATCGAGCTCTACTCGCGTAGCCGCCAATTGGGGCCAGGCCACTCCCGCCCGAACCGCGGCGAGAGCTCCTAGCC